TAACATGTTATAACTGTTTTTTTTAAGTGATATATGACTTATATATTCAGTATCAGTATCCCCAACTATAGCGATTTACTATGATTTACTAGGAAAATAACGATAAACAGTGGTATTTAAAGCGCTGCTTCCATCCAAACGTCCATCTGGGAACAACCAAAAATCACAAGCTCTGCTACTGAAGCGGGCACCAAAAAGTAGCATGCCACGTTGAGCCAAACCTCGGCGGCTTTACGCCGAGAGCCCGGCTCATAAATTTGGATTAACCTTCTAAACCCCTGGTTTTTGAAGGTAAAGATTCTTTACAGAAAAAAAAACACATTTTTTGATGGTAACAAATGTAAAGAACTGGTTTTTGATGGTAAAAATTGAAAAAAAAAAAACAGGGAACTTCCTGCATTTTGCCCTCACCAGGTAACCGTTAGCTTATCATTGGTTGAAATTACAATGTGTTTGTCGATTAAATCCCCGTTCGGTTAGTACAGTAAAACAACCCTTCTTTACGGATTTTTCAATCTCCATTCTTGTTGCTTCTTTTTGGCCGTCCCAAGGATCACCATTGCATCCTCAAATATGCTCAAACCGAAAAACATTTCTGATGCTGAATTTCCCGTGTTTTTAAGGTCAAACCATTTGAAAAATCCCCAAATCATCATCAATGATAAGCCACCATAAAACACCATCAATAACATAAAACCCCCAAGTTTGAAAAATGCTGAAATCAGTTGAATCCCCCATTTCCTCCACGGATGGTGACAGGGCCCGGGCCACAAAACAGTCCAGCAGTGGCAGCGAGACAACACTCATGATATAATGCAACTGACGCGTGTGTTGCACATGGGATTTGTATAGCCATCATGGGAGAAGAATTGGGGTATAGAAACATAAGAATAATGATGATAATAACAATAGTAATAATACTAATGGGGTAATCTTTGCAACATCCAATGAACGTCTGTGTTTCCGATGGCTTTCTTTAGGCCAATGCCATGGTGAGAATGTGATTGGAACCCCCAATCATACTGGAATTGAATGGGATTGGATACCTAGGCTCTAGGAGAATCACCATTTTTTGCTGCTTCTGACAGCCTGACAGTCTGACTGTTTTGGGTGGTTCCACCCTCCAAACATTAGTATCTTTTTGTTGGTTATATCCACTCATCATAAAATTTGTTGGTGGTTATATCCCCAAGCATCCAATTGCTTGGTGGCAAATCTGAAGGTCTCCGGTAAATGTTCCCTTAAAGTTGAACGAATATTGGACTGGCTGAAGATGTGTATACGTTTTTTTTCACCAGAAAACACATATTGAAGGGTTTCTCTGAAAAATCTGAAAACCCGAAGATCCACCAGTTACTTACTGGTGCTTAGCAGGGAATGAGGGAATGATCCATAATCACTAGCAATAATCATCCCATTCCCCCATTCCCATCCATTCCCATCCATTCCCTGCGTTTGTACTCCTTTCCCCCGCCTGGGCCATGAAGGACACCACCACAGAAAACGCCTCAGCAAGTCAGGTAATGGGAAAAGCTTGGATCTCTTGTGGTTTCTTATGGCCTGTCCTTTTGTTCATTCAACAAGAAATTTGAAATGTCAAACTCAAACTGAAGATTGGCTAACTACATAATCGAACGGACCGACGCTCGGAAGAATGCCTTTCATCCTTTAATTGGTCGAAATAAGAACCAAAAAGCTTTAGTTCACCGCCACAGTATGCCATTCCAAAAGAAAACAAGACACTGAACTGCATGTGAACCTAGAGTCACAAGACATGATGGAAAATATAAGGCCATGACTGACATAAATGCAACAGCTGGAAGAAGCGATATCAAATCCCACAGCCACCTCAGTGTTGGGCGATGGATGTTCACCTAGATTTAATGGCAAATCCATCTGCCAAATTGGCTGAAAGGGCCCCAATTCGAATTCCTACACTTTGGATTCTCCACTGCCCTTGCATCTTGCTTGTAAGTGTCTTGAATAGCCGCAAATGCCATAGCAAAGCTGCAGACCAAAAAGACCATGTGTGCAGCTAACCAGCAGAACAGCATGAAAAAATTGCGCATGCTGGGAACGAGCATTATCAAACACACCCGGTATAAATCAGAGCAGTCAGCACTGAGCAAAGCTGCAAGCGAATTGGTGACTGCTGAGAACAATCATCAGCTTTAACATGTGGCCAATTTCAAGGACCGTCCAACTCGCAGGAGTTGCGATTCATTTCACATTTGAACACAAGTCCGATATTTACGGAACTATTGGCATCAATCTTGAGAGCAGCTGATCTCTTGAGCGCCTCAGCAAGGATTATTCACCATCGATGGCCAATCATAGATGCCCGGGTACTTCACAATACATAAGGGAGTTATAGCGTGGCTCACTTTCTACCAAAGATGAAATAAGTATTGAAATTAAGTACCAATTAAGTATTGAAAATTCTTGAAATACCATTGGTACCCTCTGGTGATTTAACATAGCCATGGAAAGATCCACAATTTTTAATAGGTAAACCATCTATAAATGGTCCATTTTCCATGGCTATGTTAAGTAACCAGAGGGTAAGTATGGGTAAGTAATTCATAAGCTGAATACACAGCCGACCCGTCGCTTTCCCCTGCGCTTCCTGCTGGACTTGCCGCGGGCCCAACTCCTGTAGAAAGCTCAAATGGCCCTCCTGGGCCATGAAGCATTCGGCTTGGGCTTAGATTCTCATCATGAAATCGACACTGGTTGGTGATTTACCCCATGTTTTTATATGTAAATACCACCAGGTGTATAAAAATATGGTCTTATACCCTGGTGGTTTATATGTATAAAACCCATACCATGACTAATGTGGGTAAAACAATGTTATAAACCACCCATGACTGGGAATGTCTTATACCACCTATAAAAATGATGATGACTGGGGGATGGTCTATGGCATTGTTTTACCCTATATCACCAAAATATCACTGGTTGGTGGTGTACCTACCCATCCGAAAAGTATGAGTTCGTCAATGGGAAGGATTATCCCATATATTATGATAAAACATGTTTGAAACCACCAACCAGGACATGTATTGGCTTAGTAAGGATTGTTGTCTTCCCAGAATTTGGGATTGAGTTGAGATGAATTAAGTATAAAGTATGTGTATATATATATAGATATTCCGTATATCAAAAGTATAAGATAGTATAACATACTATATTACTTTAACATAAAGTATATAATCTAAGATTCCATATATATATATACACACAGATTACTATAGTACGTTACATAGATTAGTATATAGTACCTACAGTCCGACGCATCAAGCCACAGGGGTCCCTGATTGTGGACAGCTGGAAATTGCTGCTCCCTTGCCTGGTTCTCAATCTCCATGAGCAAACTTAAACCTTGGGGAAACGCAACGCCACAAAAGATAGACGTTGGTGAATTCCTACCAACATATAGTGCTAAATCAAACTATGCTTCTATCTCTTGAGGCTCATACTGTAAGAATGGAATCTTTTTTGGACGTGTGCGACTTTGCGGTTTCAAGCCTTTCCAAAGCATCTTAGAACCAAAGGAGTCAAATTGTATCATCAAGTGGGGTTGCTGCACCGAACAATGCTGAAGATAATTGAATAAATCAACAACCATAAATACTGCTGAAAACTGTGTCTCAACATTATTTTTCTTGGCTTCAAAAATACCATATCTTCGATCCATACCCACATGGTATAAACCTCTTAGTATATTATCATGGTTTATCATAAACGTTCCTCATTTTTTGAAGGCCGTGTGTATGTGTATATATATATATATACAATCATATATATATATATACATATGGTGGTTTCCATAAATGGGGGTACCCCAAAAATGGATGGTTTATAATGGGAAATCATATCAAAATGATAAAATGGATGATTTCGGGGTACCCCCATTTCTGGAAACCTATATATATATATAATCCCTTCCGCTTATTACTAAACCCCCCCCCCCAAATAATAATAAAAACTAGGGTCCATCTTTAGTTTTGGAAAAACATGTGGTTGGCCAATTTGACTTTTAACTGATTCCCTTTAGAAAACAATTTCAAAATAAAGCTACCATTTGTGGGTTTCGCCCCCTAAGAATAAAAACTGGTTAACCTCGGGGTGTTCATTATTAGGGTCCGTGAAAATTTTATTTGTGTATTAGGATTTATTAATTTAATATTAGGGGGAAGCTTCGAAATCCAATTTTGGGCAAAATTTCAATTGGGTTATAAAAGGAAATTCAATTGATTTTGAGATCGAAAAAACATTTTTTTTTAAAAAAAACATATTAATTAATAGGGTCCGCTTCGAAATCCAATTTTTGGCAAAATCTTAATTGCGTTATAAAAGGAAATTTAATTGATTTTGAAATCGAAAAAACACGTTTTTTCATTAAGCGTTTTAATTTTCTATGAGGGTCCGCTTTGGTTCCCTAATACTAAATACCACCGTAATAATAAAAACTACCTGGTGTTTATGATTTGGCGGGAGGGGGGGTTAGTATTAGGGGGAAGTGATTATATCTGAGATTATATATGTTGGAGATAACTCATGAAAAATCTCCACATTTTTTTAAGCAAAGCCCAACATGGGCATCTGCCTCCCAGCCTCCCACGTTTGTCATAGTCATGCGGCATCTCGCGATGCTGGCGGCAAAGATGCCCATCGCCAGGAAACGTCGCATGCGCCTGGCAGATGCCGAAAAGTGTAACAGGATGGTAGTTTGATGATATTTAGCTATATATTTTCAGGTTTGCTATACATATATTTCCAGGTTTCCAACTTGTCTATCTGTTTGGGGGTTGCAAAAAAGGCTATAAGGTCAAAAAGAAAAGGCTGTTCTGTCAATGGTTCCCCTAAAATCAATCCATCGATCTATGCCACAGTGATCCATGTATGCTATATATGGAAACATTTACCACAATATACCCCCAATGTTAGCATATATAGCAGCACCATGGATCCTATGGGTATGCTCACATCGCTCCTTTCCTTTGGTGCCGACTTAGTCGTCGCTGGAAGCTCTACGAGACTCTACGGCAGGTTCAGAGGATCCACGTACTTCCCCAGTTCCTTCTTCTTCTCAAAGCCTTTCACTTCATCATAGTCCCGAACCAACCAACGGCGGAAGTTCAACTTCTTCTGAGTGCCTTAAGGTGGATGGATCAGAAATTGGATATCCATGTTGATCGCTGCTAAAATTTGAAGAGCTAAGTACGCTAAGTATAGTAAACGTCATGATTCACAAAAACCTCCGGAAACCATCCGGCGTGTGACCCTTGCAACTTCTCATTCAGTTCAATCCTCCATAAATATCAGATGGGTAGTTGTATCCCATAGCCCCGTGGAAAAACCCTGCCATGATGGTTAACTATGGTCAAATCCCAATTGATGGTGGTGAAATCATGCTACACCTCCATGTTTATTCAAAAACGTCACTTTTGTTGCTTCAATCTCCATGTTCAGTGCTCCAAATAGTCAATCCAACAGATGTCATGCGTAAATCCCATGTAAATCCCAATAGTTTCTGGTTCAACCGTTCAACCTCCATTCTTGATGCATATTATCATCAGGTGTGTCTGTTATTATGGGATGTCTTTCCACCAAAAAGTCCAGAAAAAACATCAAATTTCTATGGATAATATCTGGGTAAATTATAATATTTCACAAACCTGAAATAAGGCCATTTGGGGATGATTTCCCTTACTAACCATGATTCCAGTGAGGTCTCAGTGAGGTCGTTATAATTTACCCAGAACTATGGTATTTACTTTAAACTCGATACTACCGGCCTGGTAAACTAACGACGAAAATCTATGGAAAATCACCATATGTTTAATGGGTAAATCAACTATTTCTATGGGGTAAACCAAGATAACTATGGAAAGATCCACCATTTTATAGCTGAGTAAATCCGCTATTTCCACTGGGCCATGTTCAATAACTTAAGATTTTTGTTCACGTTTACCAGAGGGTAAGACATCTTCAGAGACGCTCCAAGTTGCGGTGGATGATTTTGTGTTCACGTCCCTGGCGCAGCTGATTCGCCAAGCGCCGCGTCATCAACTGCTTCGCCTTCTTCAGCCGATTCAAGGTCTTGCGACCAGGGCGACCAGGCCGATCCTGTGGTTTTTCGGGAGGCCGGGAGCTGGTTAATCCCATCTATCATCATTTACCTGTTAAAGTGGTTTCTTCAAACCCTCTATTAACCAACCAACCAATGGGAATTTGGGACATCTATGGAAGTGAAGAAGTGAAAATGATGGATTTTTCAAAACGAAGTGATGGTGATTTCCATGGGATTTCAATGGGATTTCAGGGATTCTATGTCGTTTTCATTCAGACCGGAGTTGGCTCGGAAAAAATGGTGCTTCACCATGGTGCTTCACCAAGAGATCTCTTTCTGCGTAAATTTCAGATTTGAAAAAAAAAAGACAACATCCATATAATATGCAAATATGTATAATCACGCATATAATCTGGATATAAATGGTGATACGAGTATCATGGGGATATAATGAGATGATATGGATTTGCTATCCAGGAGGGCCAGTATCTCAAGAAGAAAGGCAGCAGATTCCTGGTGGAGGTCCTTCAATGGTGAGTTTTAAATCGGATCGGTCCTTGATGGGATACATGTAGGCTCCAAGACGATTTTTCAGAGCCTCGATTCGGTAGACATGGCGAATCTTTAGTTCCTCCCGGATCTTCATGTACGAATCCAGGTTCTTGGACGCCAATTTGTCCAACATCCTGCGTCGGGCGCAGACCAAACTCGTGAGCTTCAAACGGCACCGGTAGTCCTTGCGGAACTCACGCATGTGTAAAATCATGTTGCGGATCTTTTCGGTGGCAATAGCAATTTGCACCTCGAGACATCCACGATTCTTGCCATCTGGGCCGTCGCTGGTCCACGTCTTGATGGCATTTTTCTTGGCCAAATACAGGACATACTGTTTGGAGGGATAGAGCTCATAGCGAATCTGCCGGGCTTTGGTGTCTGCTGCCTCTTCTTGGGCAAGTTGTTTGGCGTATTCTTCCAAGTCCTTGGAGCGACCCGAGATTCCAGAAAAAGGATGAAAAAGGATGAAAAGGTACTGTATATACATAAAATAGGCAGATTCACCAACCAACAAGGACCAACAAAAATGAACAATAATATAATAATGGTAATTCCCAATAAATTCAGGAGGTAGATTCCCAGTAAATGGTTTTTACTAGCTTATAGCTTGGACTTCCCATTGCTTAGTCTACCACCCCAGTAGATTCCCCCATTTTTGTTCTAGACGAACCGATGAGAAATATCTCAAAAATCCCCCGGCAAATCCAGGAGTCTGTCTCCTCAAAGTCTTTGTCCATAAACTGATCCATGTCACCTTGGTTCTTGAGAATCCCGGAAGCCTTGTTCATACCCATAGGATCCATGTATGGTATATATGCTAACATAAAGGGGGTATATTGATGGTAAATGTTACCATATATAGCATACATAGATCCTGTGGGATACTAAACACCCCCAACAAAGCATGGTTTAGTAGGGAACTTCCACATACTGGGACGATCTTTTTCATGAGGATGGAATTCCTCGGAAAGTTGAAGCTTCTGAGGTCATCTCCCCAAAGCACAACAACCATAGAGTTACCAGGATCGAAACCACATGGTTTTGAAGTGCTAACTTGAATTTGCCACAAGCATGTTTTTAAACAATTTCTTTCTTCAAGTGATCCCCACCAAATGACATTCTATCTGACGTGTATTCTGACATTCTATCTGGCATTCTATCTGACATTCCATCTGGACTTCTATCTGACTTTTCATCTGACATTCTACCTTGAGATATATATATAAATATATATATTATGACATTCTATCTGGCATTCTATCTACCATAATTTTGACATTCTTTCTGGCGTATACTCTGACATTCTATCTGACATTCTTTCTGACATTCTATCTGACATCTATTCTCACATACTTTCTGGCATATATTCTTACATGCTTTCTGGCATATATTGTGACACATTCTTTCTGACATTTTCTGACATTCTATCTGACATCTGTTCTGGCATATTTTCTGACATGTGTTCTGACATACTTTCTGGCATTCTATGCCACAACATTCCTATAATCTCCCTTCCAACCTACATGGAGGTTTCCAATCCATGGGGGTACGCACAAATCATCCAAATCATAGACCATGACTTAGTACAGGTTAACAATCTATTGTGAATATTGTGACCTAAGAAATCTATAAGAAACTCCTAGCCAGCCTACTTAGATGGGCCATGGGATTAACTGGTTAGTAACTGGGGATATAACTATATAACCTTCTATATCCAATTATAATCCATTTACTAACTGTTCACTAACTCCATGGCCCATCTAAGTAGCTATGAACCATCCATGTCACTGATGTCAAACTTCCCAATCTTTGGATCAGCTGCACCGGCTTCCTTTTGCTCGTCCTTGGAGCTGGAGCTAGCGCGCGCCATCGCGCGGCTTTTTGGTGACCCCAAAAACAGCCCAGCCCGGGAACAAAAAACGACTTGGGAACTGATCTAACGCCACTTACCCGGCCTGGTAAACATAGAAACAACTATGAAAAATCACCATAGCTGTAATGGGTAAATCAACTATTTCTATGGCTATTTTCAATAGCTATGTTTGTTTACCAGAGGGTACTGTAAGTTTACTATGGTTTGTGGTAGATATAACATGCTATAATATGATATGATACAACTATATAACTACAGTTAATGGATGTTGATGGGGTGTATAAATAAAGCAACTTTTTTCACTGGAGGGCACCATCCTGTATTCTCAGCGAAGTTCTACGCCACTAATAAGTGGGGTATTTCAAATACCTACTACAGTGCATGTTTATGTGGAGTTGCACTGGGAAAAATGTGCCGACTCAACTCCTGTGCCTCATTTCTCCCAATAAAATTCCTTATTCCGAGACATCAGGTAATTTCAACATATTTCAACCCCATTTTTGTTGGGACAAACCCACATTTTATATGCAACGAACAAAACATCAAATGGTTCATTCAAGCTATGGTGTAGCCGCTAGCCATTCCCCAATGTTTGATGATCAGGCCGATGTGGATTTGTCTGAAAACCGCGTACAGTACACCCTAGGGGGTGAGCCATATTTTTCCCATTGTTCCTTGTAAAAAAAAACATGGGGGGCCCTGGGGGGTATCTAACAAATTTCAGACAACCATGGTGAAATCAAACCGTGATTCACACCCCGATGTTTGATGGTTCAATATGGTTCAATCCAACCCCTCTGTTCCGACATGAACAAATGGAGCAACAAAATGAAACAAAAATGGTCAAATCCAATAATTTGATAAACCCAAAATTGCCCCGATCACAACGGTGAAATCATCTTTGAAAACCAGCCCTTAAAAAGGTTGGATTCTTTCCTGAGGATTTCACCCATTTCACCGGTTGCCAGGCTTCATCTTCTTCCTGTTCCTTCTTCAATGCATCAAGGCCTCCGACGATTCCACTGGCTCGCCGTGCGATGCCCGTCTTGCCACGTCCGGAAGGAAGGTTCACGGAGGGTCGAGCCGCCGACAGGGCCACCAGCAGCATGACACCGCAGGAGAAAGCCGAAGGAAGTGAACTCCTTGAAGATTCAGCGATGATACACATGAAACATCAAAATCAAATGATTGCAAATTGTTTCAATAAAAGCCCATCTCACACATTCAGTTCGGGAACAAAAAATATGGATTTCCCAAACGGTACTGGATGGTACTGGTATAGGGAAAATACGTCAAACATCATTGACTTTTTATCCAGGACTCTCAACTGTTTCGCCGAAGTGAGCGCCACGCTGAACTGCAGGAGAATCGGGTGTTCGTGGACTGGGGGAAGTCACACTGAAAATGAAGCTCCTGTGGCAAACGCTGGCAAGACCAGAGATGGTTTGACAAAACAAAAGAGGCCAAAAAAAAAGATATACATAATATGAATATCATTGAATTACATAACATTCTCAAATCAGAAAATCGGTGTAACATGTAGTTCGCATTTTTGGGATTCTCTTCAGCACCCGTTTTTGGGACACCGAAAATTCAGTCACGTGCCGCCGCTGCCTTGGGCAAGCCCAAAGAACGATGCCCAGGGCCCCGACGCTCAAAAGCATCCGTGAGCCACGGAAGCGGGATGTCATGGCGGGGGCGGCGAACGGGGTCGACTGCTGTCCCTGACTTTCAAAGTTGGAAAACCATGGCTTGATCAGCTCAATGGCGACATATGGCGACATATATATGGACCGAAGATGATGCCGAAAAACGTCGAACTTGCAGAAGTCCTACTGTAGTACTTATACTAAAAGCCAGTCAAATCAAACTAGGCAAGCCTCATTCAACAGCTGTCTTGCTCACCGGGTCCACCAAGACATGAAACGCAAGCTTCACAGCTGTCGGGATCTGGGTCTGTCTGACAATTTCATTGATAATTTCACTAGACAAGAGCTGTGGCCATCCAGCATGTTCATGCATTTTCAGACACACAAAAGCCGTTAAAATCCAATAGGAACCCCAAAAAACAGTGATTAATCAATCTGTTAGTGGGAATGAAAATGATCAAACTTCTATCTCTATCTCTTGGGGCATCAAAGCTAATCCGTGAAACTCATCAAGTCATCACAAAAAATACGTTGCGGCGTTGCAAAAACGAGATAGGCAGACAGCCCAAGGGCATCTTGGTCCTTCTCTTTGTCCTGATCCTTCTTCGATCCACCAGGCGTTGAAGTCACCGGAGGCCTGCATGAAACATATGCAGCCATCATGCTATGAATGGCATAGAGTCATCATGGTATTTACAGGTGAAATTATTGCTTTTGTTTTTCAACACATATTAGTTCATTTTAGTAAGGATGCTTTGCTTGGTGAACCGCATTGGATTTACCCAATGTGTCACCATGCCCACTTGGTCCCTGCCTCTGTGTTCGAAGAAGCCTGGGAGCAAAAAAACTGTTCTTGTCTCGGCAGAGTCATCTTGAAAAGATTGAGGCAGCATGCGGCAACCGATAGGGAAAAAAACATCGCTTGAAATGGTTGTAAGTTAATGTTCAATATGTAGTGATTCGTTTTAGGAGGTTACTATACAGTAGACCTGCTTTTTGGCACATCTTCCCAAACCCGCCAGCGGCAGTTCCCTTCAGGTCCCAGCAAGAAAAATCCCAGTACTCCCACAAAAGCATAAAGCACAAAGCAAACCTTGGTTGCTGAAGCGAGGCATAAGTAGCAACTTCGGCAAGTCTCAAGATGCGTTTCCTCAATGTTGACATGTCATCTATACACAACTTGAATCCACATGAAACACTCGCTTAATCGATTCAGAGAAAGGTCAACACCTCCCGTTTTTTCGCTGTGATTTTTACGTGGCAGGGCAGGGAAGTTCAGAAGCTGACCCATTCAAGCTCTAAGATGTACCTGGCAGACGCTCCACCCGTCGGTGCAAAAAAAAACAATTACCAGGGACCAATGACTACATTGAAATTAAGGTACCCCCATTCTATAGAGATACTGTGTGTGTGTGTGTTTATCCTGGGTGAAATATATTTGTCAAACATGACAGAAATGAACTGATACAGGATATGGGCTTGTATGGCTTGTCTGAACATAGGGCCCCCCGTTCATTTCGCGGTTTTTTAGTCTCCAACGGCCTGTGCCGGCGAAATCCCAAGGATCCTGTCCCAGAATGTTCAGGTCCAAAACCACCAAAAGAGGACAATCCACATGGCCTGTCACTTATCCAAACTGGTTCCTCTTGCCACCAGCCTCGCAGGCAACGCGCACATCATGACATCCAGTGGGCATGAGTCAAAATTTGAGGCCATCGGGACCGCCTCAACCATTCAGTTTTTGTCAATTTCAGAGATGCCCAAATTGTCACACCCCATCTTGACACCAATCGTGCGCCAAAAATCGAACTTCGAATCCAATCTTGAAGGCTTGAAGGCAACTAAGTAACTAATTGCAATGCGTAAAAGAACATGTTCATTGTGCATATTTCTTGGATGTGCAGTACAAGTACATGATATTAAGATGTGAACAGCTTACATCGTCAGATTCCAATGTCTGAAAATCGGGTACACGCCATTCCATCCGCCACGATTTAGAGAAGCATTGTTTCCCCTAAAATGGGGGATACCCCCAAATCATCCAAGTCATGAGACCATTTATGATTTTGGGATCCCTAATCTTAAGAACCCCCCAAATAGTTATCTGCCATTTTTGGACATCCAGCAGTTGGAAACCCAGACCGCTTGTGCCTTCGGCTGTGGTCGTCGAAATATCAGTGGTCTGCACATGCGAAGAGCTGTGCGAAACTTCTCGAAACATCCATAGATTATGTTAACCAAAAGAGGCAATCCCTTCTAGGAAACCTACAGTGGGTTGAAACATAGAAACATGATATAGAAACACTATTTTGGGGTATTAGAACCTCGTTCTTCGTGGAAAATAGGGAAAACATATATCCGAGAAAACTCCATATTTGGTCAGGAGTAGGACAAGTATGGACAAGTAACGTGTCCATTCTGGGCATAGAATCACCTATTTAACCATCTATTTCCTACAACCATTCGGAGGTGATTCTTGAAGAAAGAGCTGTGATATGTACCAACCCCACTAAGATAATGGATGGCGTTGACTGAGGTAACCAAGGTCACCACAACCCGACCGAAGGGCCGAAGGAGGCCTGCACAATGCCTCCAGACTCTCTGACAGGTGGAATTGGCATGACGGATTTGATCAATGACTTTGCATTCCACCGCTTGATGATTTGCCTCAAAACCGTCTCCCCAAAGATATCTGGTTCATCAACGTGGCTAAAAGGCCTTCGCAACAATTGCAAAAGGGTTGCCATTTTTTTGGATTATGTCACCTCATGTTGCGGCTTCTTTGGTGTCTGCGCTTCCACAGCGTTAGCAAGGCTCGCAGTAATTGAGATCGTCTGAAAATGGGGGAATACCCCACGATGACCACATGTTATTGTTGTTGAAACAAAAATTAAATTTTCAATAATCTTCTCAACTGATTGAATTTTTGAAAAATGTTGGGGAGTTTTCCATCAGTTCAAGATCTTGTTTCACTAGGTCTGTAAGTTCTGGAGCAAAAAAAAACAGCAGTTCGGACTCTTCGGATCATGAGTAGTTTGTACCTATAAAACTTATGTTAATAAAACAAGGGGATGTTCCGTATAATGTACGACAGAGCCGGTATTTAACTACAGATGTTCCACATAGTATATATATATATTATTTATCTATTATTTATATAGTATAACTCAGGCTATATTGTGGTTATGACATGTCCTAAGCCAGATCACTACCAGAGTTTCATGAAGCCAAGTCTTTCTTTCATAAACAAGACGTGGAGAATTAGAGTCACCTGCGGACAGTGGTTTCAATCAGCAACTTGAGTACCAATCTAAGGAGACACATGTGATTTTGTCATCAATGATGCAAAACAAATGAAAGATACCCTCCGGTAATCACACATGGCAATGAAAAATCCATTCTAGATCCCAGAGAATCTATGTATGCTATATATGGTAACATTTACCATCAATATACCCCCAATGTTAGCATATATACCATACATGGATCCTATGGGGATGATTTTCCCATCAAAACCTCCAAAAAATATAGGAAACCATAGGGGATTTCCCAGCCAACCATGTTTGATTACTGAAGGGTAGCCAGTTGGTGGTTCTTCACCACTCCCTGAAAAATCTGTGATGTCAATAGTTATCTTATTATTTGGGGATGGAATCTGTTTAAACGTGACACAGTCGACCCGTACTTGTTGGTCAATTGTATATGTTATTATATGAATCCCTACATATATGTATCTATATATATATACATACATACATACATATTATGTAATATTACTGCTTGTAATTCATATTCCTTTGTTTTATATCAAAACTATGCCCACAAAATCTTTGGTCTTTGCCATCTTTTTGTTGGTTGGAATTATGTGAAATTCCCGCATGCAAACATAATATCATATATCATATCATATCCCAACTTGACCCTGGGACCCCTCTGCAGAACTCGCTCTTTTGGCTAGCTGCTAAAGGTTGACTCTTGGTTCTCTGCAAGCATCCGATTGTTCTTGCCACAATAGAGCAGAGCAGGCAGCAGACAGCCGAAACAGCCAATGTACATATTAAAACTGCTATACTTGGAACCCCAAGATGAGCAGCCTTCATCCTGATTTAAGATAAATTGTGCCAATGGGGTGAAGAAGACCTGCAAAAGAATGGCTGAATTGAAGAGCAACGTGGTGGAGATCTCCGGTGGGGTCGGGAATGTCTCCTCTACCGCGTTGGACAAAAGCGCAGGTAGAGAGCTCATCATAAATGCACCAAAGAAGGTCACGGTAATTAACAACCCCAGAAGATTCGCAGGGCGAAGCATTACCTTGGGCGATTCGGTCCATGGCGGATTCATTTTATAAGCATGCAAAAACCATGAGGAAAACGCTCTAATAATCGACTCAGTAACAAAAAATGTTAGGAACTGATGTGTAACTGCTTGTAAAAGGGATTACGAATGTGACATATATATAACTTGCAGCTACAGTATTTATCAATTCGGCCCCATGTTCAAAAGCATCGAAAAGCCACGTTCGAAAAAATTGGTTCCGCCTGGTTCTGCCTGGTGACCAGAAAGAGGCAACCACCGAGTACAGCGGTGAAAATCGAGCATCGTAGGATGGTCTGGTAGGCACGTGTGGCACCTAAGACATAGCCAGTTCCCAATGAGCCACTAACTCCTCCTGGCGTCACGTGGAAATGACCTGGTGGACCTGAATATCAACGGTAAAACGGATGATATGGCCATGGCCATCGCCATCAAATCAACGGAAAAACGGATGATAAACCACGGATTGGGATGTAAACTGGGCCATATTTAAAACAAACCAACGTACCATCATATTCTTGTGCATCTGTCTGCACAGTAATGACGTGCCTAGGTGAAAAAAATCCGGTGAGTTTCATGACTTTTCTCTGCGCCATTGGTCACCGCTCCTATCATGAAAAGCCCACTTGCAAATCCAGCATCGGTGGATGTATAGCCACAATTACCTTGATGGATTTCGGAGAGAAAACATGGGAAACGACCATGTTTGTTTCATGCGGGGGGATATGCTTGGCAAATCCAAAAGCCAATGGTGTATCCTCATGTTTCCCAAGAATCTGGTCTTCAAAATAGTGATACATCCCTATCTTTAAGCAAACCAGGTGACTAGCGATGTCTCCAAAGAGTGTCAAGGTTGAAGCAGCCAAAGCCATGCCACAGTTGAAGATCACCAGAATGAGAAAGAAGTGAGGCCGACCTCAAGTTTCCATCCTTCCAATTATAGGCTACCGACTCCCATGAGTCAAGTGAACCCTGACAGATACGGTTTAACTTGGACCCACAAAAAAAGCTTGTCTGACTTGTCTGCTACGTATCCCAACATGGGGGTCAATAATTTTTAGTCGTATACAATGAGGTAGAGTTTGTTCCACAAAAAGAATCTGCGTTGAAATGTAGCGCGCTGGCCATTCCGAACATTTGTCTTAGGCATGGCTACGTGTGTCCCCTGGCATTCCCCTTTGTAAGGAGGCCTTGCCACTCCCAAATTCCCACATAAAGAAAAAAAAAACAACATCATGATGAACTCCGCCCTGCTTTGGAATGCAGCCGAAAACAAAAGGAAAATACCGAAAATACAAAGTGAGTTCCTTGCATTCAAATTCAGGAGGCATAGAAGCTGTAAGGCCTCCCGTAGCGTACTGCTGTTCCCATCAGATGGTACAGCCCCTGGTGCGTCCATGAATTGGTTGATTGTCCATAGCGCCAAAATAAGACTCAATAGTGCCTGGGCCCAACTGGAGCTTTCGAGCAAAATCAGTGCCAGGATTTCTGCATAATCCCTTCCCCTTGAAGAAAAACATAATAAGGATCAATAAGGTACATTTGGAAGCTTGGATCTATTCATGTTGGGGCCCACAAATGGGAGCGGGATTCAAGAGTAGCGGGATAGGATTACTTTGCTTTGCAGCAAGGAATCAACATATTCATCAGTCCATGCAACATAACATTGGCATCATCACGCACCTTTATGTTTGTTCCCATCTGATGTGGTCAGCCCAATAATGAACTCCATTCTTGAGGCTATGTTCCCTTCAAAAACCTAAACGGTAAAATAGCTAGCTTGAGTATGGTATACGGTATATCGTTGGGCTTCCAACATTCCCATCATCTGGGGATGGCTCAAAATTGAAACCAACACCACTTACCATCATCTGTCCAATTGTTTACAAGTGGCTTTGCCACAATAAGTTTTAAATCAATAGAACAAATAACCAGACTTTAGGGTGGATCCCTCTACAGGTCCCCCACCATCATTTGCATATATATATATATTATACATTGACAAAAACGCACGCTGAAGTAAGTATACATACCCTCTGGTTATGACTAACATTGCTGGGAAATCCCGAACTAGCCATGGAGGTTGTAATATGATATAACCCATAGAATCCTTGTATGGTATATATGCTAACATTTTTGGGGTATATTGATGGGATCCATGTTACCATATATAGCAGCACCATGGATCCGTCATGGGTAATGTATTTCCAGAACGCCATGTTTGAGCAAACCGGAGGGTAGGTGAGTTATCTCCCCATGATAAGCCAATATCATCCCCAATTGCGATGGTGAAGACACCATTTATGACAACTCCCAAAAAAGATAGAAACATAGAAATTATACAATAGTTATAATAACTATTCCCAATAGAAAATAACTATTCCCAAAAAAGATAGAAAGAATAACTATTCCCAATAGAATGGTGATGTTCCCTATTGTTGATCCAAAAAAAAGATAGAAAAACCGTCCCTTTTTCCCTACAGGATGGGGCCCCAGTCGATAGCGTGAACCGTTGCCGAACAGAAAAGTGGCTGATTTCTATGGTTTATGGTAGATATAACAAACTAGTTCATGGGCTTTCTAAACCAACGTTCACATCACTGGGGGGCACCATTTTTCCACATTTTTCCCTAGCCCGGCCTGCCCTGCCAGCAGGGTTTCAGTGCCTTGGGCATCAGGACCCACGATAAATCCTGCCAAGGCAGAGCCTAAGCCCTGCCCAAAGATGGGCGACAGGGCCCCGGCGGCCAGCACACCCTGGCGCAACATGCCATGCCAACAAAAAAAAGGTGGTAAAGGGTAAACCCTCAACAGATCCGGATGTTTGAAAAAGATCTATATATAAATTGTATAAAATGAAAAGGTTGCATTCATCATGGAAGCACAATTCTACATCCTGAGGACATGATGGGCGACTTTCTGCTTAGCAGCCAGGCGGTGAAGAGACTATAGAAACCTCTAGAGAAACAGTGCAACAAGAACTGCCTGAACAGCTCCAGCACTTGGGATTGTACAGTATCTACAGCAAAAGCATGTGTATAACATCCATATTGGGGGAAATACAACCGCTTGAACAATCGCCATAGAAGTATGTTTTTCAGTGGAACCCACTACACTTCACTTCACCACACATTCTCTGTGGCTACGGTCCCACGCAATCGGCCTCCCGTTCGCGTTTCCCGAACCAAGCATCTGCAAAAACAGCAGGGGTGTTCATGATCCTTGGTGGTGCCCACTTTGCACAGGGAGAACATGTCAAGATCAAAGCTCTTGCATGCAAAGTCAACTACTCCTTCTACTCTTATTGTTTTGTATTATTTGACTTTTGAAACCTTGGGAAGCAGCGAGGGTGACAGCATCAGCAAAGCTGGACGGTAACAATTCAACACTCGTCAACAGACTTCAAATTCAAAAAAACATCAACAATCATCAGCAAACCATCAACAAATATGTGGGTTTGTCCTTAATGGTGCATACCAAATATCTACAAACATCCCAAAAACAGTCATTTGTCTCATGTTTTCTCCACAAAATCATAGGTTTTTAATGGTTTTTCATGGTTGGATTTCGCCCATCTCCGAGTCCCAAGTTTCAAGGGCGAGGCCACAGCCGCTACGCCCTGACCACAGAAGAGCCCCAGAAATCCCAGCGGTCCCGAGATGGGTCGTAGCAGCAGATCGGCCAACCAGCGTAGGAAGCTGCCGAAAAGTTGCAGCCAACAGGCCACGTGCATTACCTGTCGTGTGGCGGTGCCCAATGGATGAAGGGTTTACCCGGCCTGGTACACGTTTACAATTTGCGAACTGGAAAATCACCATGTTTTATGGGTAAATCAACGCACTAAATGTGCAATGTTCAATAGCTAGAGCAGCCATGTGAAATTACCAGAGGGTACCCTCTGGTAATCCATGGCTGGGACATGTGATTTTCCAGCGCGTAGCGTGTCGCCGCATAGGTAGCCCAGGTAGCCATGAAGAATATGGAGGTTTTACTGTCTCAGTGACACGAATATTGGTGATACCCTCTGGTTATGACATTCACAGTTCGCCATGGTTAAGCCATGGCCCTAATCGAAATAGATGCTTTACCGTTCTGAAAATAGCATGGTGTTGTTTTTCCATGGCGAACTGTGAATGTCATAACCAGAGGGTATAGCTGGAGGGACACCCATGCGGAGATTTCAGCATGATATTTCATGGAGATTTTTGCATTTTCCTTTGCAAGTTTCCGGGAGGTTGAAGTTAAAAGAACATGTGGGGGGTATAATATGTGTATATAATATTTATATAATATTATATATATATACATCTATCTGTGTTTTTTCTATAATTTCTAAGACATATCCATGACATCAGGTTGCTCCATGGCCAATCTAGTTCCCAAACGGTACGTTTGGGGGAAAAATGGGCCAGCTCTGGATGTGGAGCTTCAGTGGAGTTCATCCCCCTAACCCCTAAGGGTTAGTGCATGATCTGTGCGGCATTTATTCAGAAAACCAGCTTTTCTTACGCAGAAAAGCTGGGAAAGGAATTACAGGGAACAAATTTTTAAACTGCTGAGTCATCTTTTCCACAGTGCCTATATTAATGATTATAATGACGATGGTAGAAAGGAGCTTCACGGGTGCATCTGTTCATCATATGTATTCACCATGAAAACAACTTTTTGTCTCATTACGAGGAAAAAACACAAGTTGTTTTGGTGCCTGCAATGGCTGCATATCTACTTTGAACACCATTTGACCCATGAACATTGGTAAAGGTACCGTTCAATAATTACTTATGGGGTAATGTCAACCCCGGATGAATACACCATGGTTTATTAATTAGGGGGTACCCTCCAAATAGTCACAATATGGTACATAGATGGTACCCTCCCAATTAAACAGCCTAGGGCCTAGGGGTTTATTAATCCAGGGTTGACATTACTGCAAATATGTGGGTCGCCTTGGCCAGGCCATGACTCCTCAGCAGCCAGGTACACAACCAGCTCCCTGGCACGTAGACCGCGTTGCACAGCACCGCCAGATACGCCACAAAGCGTTCGTCGACGTCAAAGCGACTGGCCGTGGCGGCCGGTGTCGCAGCGAAGCTCAGCCAAAGGGTTTGGTTTAGAATGCCTTGGAAGCGCAGTAGCGGGGGTAAACCAGCAAACATGGAGGCTATAATGGGAATAAAATGGAATATATATATATATAAAGTATACAGTACTTAATACTTAATATGCATAATTATATATATATCATGTAATATAGGGATATCATGGGGATTTAATGGAATCTCCCCTCCGGACAATCAATCGCTGGCTGGGAAATGCCAATCATCTTCACCGACTTTCTCCAATTGCGGGGATGGAGAAAGACCCGGATCAAACTCAAACGACCACTGGATTTGTGGGTCAAAATATGTCAAAATCCAGTATTAGTATATATAGTATATAGTCATACCAATGAAATATGTGGTATTTGAACTTGGTATACTATGTATTATTCCACTATGTTTGTGGTATTTCTTGTTATATAGTATATAATCATACCAATGAACTTGGTATTTCTTTGGTACAAAATATATCTGAAATTGGTATATAGTTATAGTAGTCATACCAATGTAATATAATAATATGATTTTGGTATATAGTATATAGTCATACCAATAAAAATGGTATTTGTTTGGTACAACATATATACGAAATTGGTTATATGATTCTATAGTATCACTACAACAAATACTATATAAAATATCATAGAATGATATAAACAGCATAGCCATGCATAGCCTGGATTATCACTGGATCACTGGACGAGGTTCCCAAGATCATGTAGATGCTGAGCATGTGCCATCGTCGGGAGTCTAACACCCCCGACCGGGAAGAGCGGCTGAGAACTGAGGGGCTTGGTTCTGTGGGACGCATCATCCTGATGCATCTTGATGTACACAGCGCTGAAGAGCGAGTGATAGCCAGTGACTTTTTTCATCGCTGGACATGGACTTGTGAGCTTCTAAGATTCAAAGCAAGATGGCCCAAAGATCCTAAAGTGTGTCACGTTAGATACTATCACTAATATATATATGATACAAATTAACTAATATATACTATTAATATTAATATTAATATGTGGATTGATCTACAAATCAACGGTGCAGCTTCAGTGCAGCACATTCCATTTTTTTCCACCGTGTAAAGACATGGACTTGAGCTGCCCACATCGTAGCTCCATTTTAGCGATGCGATTTTGCGCTTGGTTTATCTGATGTCTGTGCACATCAGATCTGCGGTCGCCTGGTCGCGTGGTCGGGTCGATGAAACGGTACCCCAAAATTCACTGGTTGATCATCATCTCCCGTACTAATATCGGAAGTACGCCGGCATCACCCATTTTCATCCATTTTCACATATGTTCACCGCATCTGGGTATTTTTTTCAATAATTAAATTCACTAACCTGAAATGTTCAGCCAACGATGGAGAGAGCCCAAACGACTGATGCTGGGGAAGTCAATGGATTTGTACAATTTTCACCGGAAAGCCCCAATAAAAAAGGGAACATCTACGTTTTTTTTTGGAAAATCTATGGTTTCGGGTGAAGATGTTGGGAAAATCTATGGTTTCCGGTGAAGATTTTCCCAACAAATCTTAATCCATTGAGGAAGGTGCTGCTAACCCTGACAAGTTGCACCTCAGTCGGTGATGGAGCGGAGAAACTTCTTTTTCCTTCGAGCTTCCAACCTGTGGAGCTGAACTAGTTCCCCTGCACCGATCATCGCGATGGAAACTCGCTATTTTCAGTACAGGATGGTGCCCCCCAGTTATAAGTGGGTTTATAAACCCCATTAACTATAGTTATAGGTACCATAAACCATAGCTATTGGAGTTATAAACCAACTTAGCTATCTAGGAGGCCCCACTTTGTATAAATTGCAGGATTTTCCAGCTTGCCATTGCCATGATTACCAGAGGGTACAATTGCATTTTCCCTCTTGAAATTGTCATAAATTAGTTATCAATTGGAGGATATGGGAGGTAAATTTCGCCTATTTCCAGACCATGATCCAACCTGAATAGTGTTCAAAACCTTCTGTGTTTATCAATTATAGTTGGTATTGGTTAAATGGAACATTCTTCACTAACTTCATCATTGGATTATTATGATATGATGAGGAAATTATTGTTGATTATGAGCAGTGCTCAAAACCTCATCTATTTGATTGTTACCCCCCTAGTGTACAATCACAGTTGGTATCCAATTTAAATCTAATTACATACCATAAATCTGGCAAATATAAAATAATTCACTACTGCACCCTGAGAATTGCTGCAACTTGCGACAATAAAAGGGGGTCATTCCCCGAATCCAACTCCATCCAATTCCCATTATTGCAGCGACTCAGTGACATGGGTCATGCGGTCACTGTTTTAGCAGTCATTATCCCCATATGTCATGGTAACCTATCCCATAAGCCCATAAAATCCATAAATGTTATCAGTAAAATTCATTATTAATCAGTCATTGTCCCCAAATTTACCAGCATAGTTCAAGATTATATCCCATAAATGATGGTAAAATCATCTACAAAGCATCATTTACGTTTGGTGGTGTCCCAGCTGCTTAGCTAAGTTCGTGTCAATAACATTCAATAACTTCGATCACGTTTGGGTTTATGGTTAATGGGGATTATAAATGTGATGTATTGCTATAGAAATCATAAATCCCCATTAACCAGAGATCACGTTAGTTGGTTTATAATCCCCAATATATATCTATGGTTTAATGGGGATTATAAACCAGCTAACATCACTGGAGTTGGTGCAAAGAACTTCAACTCCAAGTTTGGGTTTATGGTAGATATATCGAACTAGTTACCATGGTTGATAAACCAACAGAAACTTCACTGGGTGGGCACCATCTTGTAGGGATAATGATGCTCAACCAGCAAATTATCCCATAGAATTCATCATTTGATAGACTTCAAGGATCAACTAATAGTGATTTTCTAGGGATTGCTAATGACTGCAAACCATAAAAATCATGGTTATATCCATGGTTATATCCCCATGACGAATAGGCTACGGTCATAGGCAAAAAATCAAGCGCTGTCAGCTGGTCAACTGTTCATGACCCGACCTTTTCATCTCCTCAATATACTCCTTGGGAGGTCGAGCTCCACCCCACTTGATCTCAGCGTAGGTTCCAAGCTCACGACCTTGGGAGGCTCTGTGGCCGTTGAAATATGGAGAAATAGATGGGGCTTCCATGATTTCTAGAAAGGTCCTGAAATAAATTTTCCACGCGGGTTTCCCAAAACAGGAATCCCCAAAATCATGGGTTTCAATACTAAAATTGTTTAATTTTGGATGATTCGGGGGTACCACCATTTTAGGAAACCTCCAAATATTTATAATGTGTTTGGATGTGTTTGGTGCACTTGCCAGACCAAGGAAGCAATCCCTTACGAAAGTCAAATGCAATCATTTTGACCATACCTCATATGTAGTATATGGAAGATTTAAGGGAAATGGAACTTCACCAACGATTATATTCAATTCTAGAGGACAACAATTATTTTAAAATTAGAGGACCCATATTCATATTCTAGAAAAAATAAATGTACTGTATAGTAATTATGGGTCATCTAATGTCGGTTTCAAATCATGGTTGAATGGAAAATGTAAGAAAAAACATTGAGTTGCACCCATAGCTATTTGTTTACCACACATATGATTTGGAGTTCTCCAAAAGTAGGGGGTACCATGGGATACCCGATAATTTTAGTTTTTTATTGTGTGTTTAAGGGCCGATTATAGCTAGCCAAGAATATGGGGGGTATAAATGATATGATGGGAGTATTGGTGGTCATCAATCTGGAACAATGGATCGATGAGGTTTTTGGGGTCCGAAAATGAGGGATACCCTCTGGTTATGTCAAAATAGCTGTTGAAAATGGCCATAGAAATAGTTGATTTACCCATAACAAATGGTGATTTTCTATAGCTATGTAAACGTTTACCAGAGGGATAGGAAAATGCTGATCACCAAGGTGAATTGGAGGGTACTGGAAGGGGAGACCACTGCTGAAAACGCGGTTGATCTTGTGGTTTCGGGGGAAGGAATGCCCGAAAGCAACCTCGGGAAATAGGTTACTGTGGTAAACTAAAAAATGAAGCATCCCCATTTTCAGGAGAAATCGGTGGTATAAAATTTCCAAAATTATCCCAAAATTTTAGGTCGATGGCACTGGGTTTACCAAATTACTTCACAATCTCAATCTTATTTCATTTGTGTGGCTGCTTGATTCCGCATATGTTCAAACAAGTTCGAACATACGTGTTTTTTTAATGGACATACACGGACTAATCTGGGTAAATTACATTAAATTACGATATTTCACCAACCTGACAAGTTCGCCTATTTGGGGATGGTGACCCCAATCCCTAGTATCATTCCAGTGACGTCGCGACGTGAGGTCGTAAAAAAATCAGCCAGGATCGAGGTCTACACTTGGTACCCGGTACCCCAACATCGATTTGAACGCCCAAAAATCTGACACAAAATAACCGGCCATAACCGGCTGTCTTTTGGACAACCCCAATCGTTTTCCATGAATTGAATGAATTGGTTGGGTTTTATTTGGTTTTACAAACCTCCCTTTGGCGAAAAAAAAAATCCCAAAAAATAATTGACTCTGTTGTGTTGCCAAGGTCCCGACTGAAAAAGAGCCGCCAGAGCTGATAAGCACCAAAAAGGACTACCAAAATGAGTGCACCAAAGCAGTACCTCAGTACTTCTCTGGATAAAATTGGTACAAAAAATACTAAACATAGGGGGATGCGATGGGATATCTTGATGGAATATCTTACAGGATAGTTTTGGACATATTTGATGTATTGAATGCAAAATACCCGCAACAATATGGAAGTGTCTGAAGATGGGTTTTTTCATGGGTAATTGTAACCGTACTTCGTATCTGGTTGGACTGCCCTTTTCCATACCGTGAAATAAAGCAGCGGTGTATCTCTCTGATAGCAGTGGCCGTGTAGGTGATTTTGAAGGGGCAAGGGAGAATGCTTTTCGATGGGAATGAGCATCATACGAAATATCCGCGCACTCTTCACACTTCAACAACACCTTTTTAATTGTTTACATCAGACAAATGGTGCCTATGTGACAAAACAGTTCTGCCATGTTTGAACCAGTAAGTTCACCACTCTTGGGGCTGAAACCACAGCCATAACCTTTTCGCATCATCCTTGGATCATCTTGGATCGGATCCACGTCAGGAGACACGGCAAAGGTGAAGCCAGGAATAGGCGCGTCCATGAAGGGCAGCTGGATCTCTGGGGGCGTCATGGACTGAGCGCGGAAAAAAGCGGCGGCCAGCGCGGATCTGATGCAGTCCATGATGTTTTGAAGATATGATAGGATGCGGCAAATATCTTGAAAACGATATAATCTATATAGATATCTATCCATCTGATAATGATCAAATATTGCTATAATCCCTTCCTCCTAATACTAAACGCCCCCCACCCTCCCCTAATAATAAACACGGTAGGTAGTTTTTAGTATTAGGGTGGTATTGATTATTAAGGAACCCTACTAATAAAATTAAACCCTTAATAATGAAAACTATCTTTTCCGATCTCAAAATCAAATACATTTCTTTATATAACGCAATTTTAAAAAAATCGAAAAATTGGATTTCGAAGCTTGCCCCTAATATTAAATAAGTTTAAATCATAATAAAAAAATAGTTTTTCCGATCTCAAAATCAATAAAATTTCTTTATATAACGCAATTAACATATTGCCAAAAATTGGATTTCGAAGCTTCCCCCTAATATTAAATTAAAACTCCATATATATATCAGGTTAGAGATTACGCCGCTGCGTGATGGCGCGCCTCGGTCGATGCGCCAGGGCTCCGCGTCGATGTGGGTCTGAAGGAGGTACTCCATGGGGGTGGCGACGGCGCCTTCCTACTTCACATCGACGCGGTGTTGCGAGGTGCGATCGGCTGCCAACAGGTCGACCTGTCGCGCAGCAGCCGCCGCACTTGCTCGCTCCCGCGGATCCCGCACCACCTGACAAGCAAAAAGATTGAACTGGGTGGCTTTGAAGAGCCAGAAAATGGGGGCCACAGCAAGGCCAAATGTTTGGCAAGGACGGCTATGTTGTAGAAACCCGACCTGCTGTACGGTTGGGGGTCGTGCCCGGTGACGTGCTAGCCCCCAGGCGGTGCGGGCATTTTGTTCGACGAAGGCCTGGGCAGCAGCAGCACGCGCTTTCGGTTCGGCTGTTCTGCATACATTAGTCTAGTCTAGTCTGGTCTGGTCTAGTCTAGTCTAGTGTGTCTGTGTGTGTGCGTGTTCGTACGCATTGCTTTCCAAAGGTTGAAACAAGATTAGCCCGGCCTTCTTGCCCTCGGTCAAGAACTTCTTCAGGAGCGAGTCTGCGCGTTCTCTGTCCTGCGAAGATTGGACACGGCATGATCATGCATCGAGCCTGAAACAAGCCTCGCCGATGACTACATTCCAGGTGAAGGAATTAAATGATACAGTAGGGGTGCAAATTGAGCTTGCCTCAGGAGAGGCGCACGGAGAGCATGGTCCGCAGCTGGCAGGCAGCATGCAGCTGCGGAACCCAGCGCGGTGGCGCAAAGCCGTCCGCGCTGTCCTGTGGATGCGCCATAGAAAACAACGAAGAACAGTAGAGGTGTGATGCATGCAGAGCTGCAGAGCATACTGTATATATTATATATATTGATATATTTGTATGGTGCGACTTTTTGCTTGCTTGGAGGGGAAAAAAAGGCAACCGTGGGCCTGGACAATGTCGAGTCCGAGGTGCTCCTCCGCACCGTCAACCCCGGCCGCATACCGGAGTTTCGCGGTGGATTTTCGGAGGAGCAGCTGCCATTGGCGGTCTTCGTCCTGTCATGCAGCGGAGATGTGTGGGACCAGTGAGATGAGCATGCATGTCCACAGACGCTATACACAGCTAGCCCGTAGTTGTGCATATGTCGTTTACACAAGATAGCTAGCTCGCCATGCATAAGAAAGGCAGCCCAAGCAGCGAGAAGTTCCACGATTTTACCTGGATGCAGCGGTCAAAAAAACGGAAGCAAAACAACAACAACAGCAACAACAACAACAACAACAACAACAACAACAACAGCAACAACAACAACAACAGCAAATCACATGTACAATGGAATGCATTCTGGTTGTTCCTCTCTGAAATCATGATAGAATTAATAAAATATAGTTGTGCCATGTTACGTCAAAGAACATAGGTATAAAGATAAGTATTGTATTTCTATACTTACATTACATATCCCCAGGACACATACATACGTGCATATCGATATAACACTCACGATCTACCGCTTCACTACGCTCTATGTGTATATATATATATCACAGCACACGGTTTATCGCTATATCTTGTATTGGGTCTGTCTATACTATTCGCATCCATAGATATCTTCTTGCTCGATGTATTTAGATTGCCCCAGTCGTCTCAGCAGGAACGCCAGTTATTTGTTAGTCAGTTGCTACATTTTATACATTGCGTCTTCACTCCTCGGTGATTTTGTAGTAAAGATAGTAAAGCAATATCCCATTACTAGGTAGTGACAGCGGCAGTTCCAAGGATGCGCTTCCGGACCATGGTGTTTAGGTGTCGCGAAGCCCCACCTTTGGAAGCTCGACTGCTACTTATGAAGGGCAAAGCGATTGCCCAAAGCACCGCCATACAGGGAACTGATCCAGAACCAAACCGAAATTTTCCGGTGCTATTCTCTCTCTCTCACACACATCCCTATACTCCCCTCACATCCCTACGCTCCCCACCTTTTTTTCTTTTCTTCATATCCCTAGTCTCTGACATTCCCGCTTCTGGACATCTCTATTCTCTTCACACTCCTAGTCTATCCAACCGTAATCCCTGTAGAAATTTAATGTCCGTATAACAGTGCGTAGATTTTGAAAATTCCTTTGGCAATTTCCACCTGTCGTTTTTGAAAACGTCAATCGCACTAGCCCCAGCAAACGGCAGTGGCACTGGTTACGAGGGCGCGTTCCCTCTGGAGATCATTTTCGGAAAGGGAAGGTATAATGAAAATGGAATGAAAGCATCCCACTATAGCAGTATCTACCCATCTATAATGTAAATATGTGATATATATATATATATTATGCATATGATTCATGTATGTATGTATATATATATATTTATATTTACGCATTTCCACCATGCAGGCACGCTGTCCCTTAAAGTTCAGTTGCGTCACCGTGAAGCAACCACTGTGGGTTTTACCCATTTCCGACCGGTCGAGATGCGTGGTTCTGTGTAGAATTCCTTCAGTTGTAGCAGCCTGGGTAAAATTGCAGCCAACTCAGTCAACACGAGTGAATTATGGATATAGGTGAATTTACGCCTGACAAAGGTATTTTGATGATCAAAACAGATTGTCTCATACAGTTTTGACGCCCCAATGCTGTGTGATTGCCTGACGACTGCAACTCTGTAGGCAACTATGACTATGCTGCGCAAATTTATGCTAGATCGAAGCTTGAACCAAAATGAAACGAAACAATTGAATTTAGGGGAATACACTTGCGCCCGTCTACCAACAATTAACCGTGCCACATGGGGGAAAAAAATGATGTCCAAAGTAATCAACGCGCTGGTGTTCGTAGCATGCATTGCTCATGCGCGTACTTCGTTTGATCCCCGCCCGGTCACTTCGCCACTGTGAAACCACCACGAGGATGACCAAACTCACCACGGACCATGGACCAGTCCAAGCCAGTTTACACCATTTGCGACACGCGTTCACCAGAGTTTCGACAAAATGAATGTCCCTGTTTTCAGCCGCGCGGCTGCGATAGCGCGTTTCTGGCTGTTACCTGCTTGCTTTGTCCTGTCTGATTCGTTTCCCAGCGTTATAGGGGTTCGTGTCTGCTTGGTAACGCGTTTCTTGCCTTCGCGTGTCTGTTCTGTCCTTTCCGACCCCTTTCAATGTGGAAGTTTCGACCAAAAAACGAAAATGGATGTAAGAAAAGATGAAGTCAAATGGTGGTTGATATGCCACTGACAGGAAAGGAGGGAAACCATGCAGAACTGAGTGAATTAACCGGTGACCCAGTGAACCAGAGAACTATTGAATGGAACATCCTCATTGTTTATGTTGCCAACACCAAAAATAAAAGTAATGCTTCGAGACTTTCTTCAGAGTGGAAAGTTGTGAGTAAGTCGACCTCGGGTTGTTTCTGATTTCGGCGGCGCGATCATGATTTGTCAACGGCTGACCGGAAAAATATACCCTGCATAACACATTCGGTTCTGCTGTATATATGGTCGCACGCATGCCACTGGTTTCCATAATATGGTTTCGAAAAATTAAACAATTGTAAAATTCAAACCCTGCTTTGTTTCTCCTATAGAAAAACAATTTTCCCTTTAGTCTAAATAAGGTCACGATCTTTGTGCCAAAGAGCTGTGACCTATATAATATTTTGAGGACTTTGGAGACTTCCGTTCCAAGACAACTCTGGTGACGTTAGAAACACCACCAGGGCACACCATGTGCCCAACCATGTCCAACTGTTTTAAGCCAAACCAAAAATGTTGTCAGTCAAGCCTAACCAAGCTGGTCCAAGCTGTCATGTGTCACATTGCGTCACACTGTGTCAACCATGTCCTGCCAGGCCGGCGAGATACCCTTCTTGAAGAGCGCATAGTACTCGAATTGCGACGGGCTGTATGCAAAGTGATGCAGGCACCAAAAGTCCTGGATCAGTGATGAGGATAGCATCAGGGATTGCCACAAGACAATCATTTCTTAACAATATCCGGGATTCCATGAGCTGCTCAAACTTCGACCTAATTTGTGGAAGGGTCAGAAAGAATGCGGGCTCTTATTGTTCCTGTCAAAAAGCTGTCTGAACACTCTCAAGCGACAAGCCCAACCTGTCGACCCCTGAGAACTCCTCCACTGTGCTAAAGCTATGGACTTTTCGCAGGTTCTCACCCCATGCCTCGTCCTGGCGCAATAATATTAGTGTGTAAGACTGGGGGAATGGAAGGGTTTTTGCTGGTTACATGTGGCTACGTCGTTCACTGACTCCAAATCCTATCCTATCATTCCATGGTATCATCCTATCCTATCAACGCATATCAACACTAAGAAGTTCCATACATTCTTTGTCACCGCTAAGATGGTCAACTGGAAATTCCTTAATGCCTCGGTTTTTCCGCCCCACCTTCTGGTTTTGTAACCACAGACACCTTCAAAACCGAGCCGTTCTGTGTCAACTTTGTCAAGCACTCAACTTTCTTGGCAACCCACGGCAATGATCATCGACCCATCAAACCATCTCCTAGGATGGGTACATGAGATCCATCTCTCTGTCATGTACCCATCCTAAGATCTCAACATGGTCCATCTTAGCTGCGTCGTGAACCAAGCAGAATCTAAGGCAACCGCCACGTGTGTTGCAAGTCGTGCTTTGCAGAGCTGGTCACTTCTGCCATTGCCTGCCGTGCGCCGTTAGCGCGAGTGATGATTTTCTTCCTCTCTTGAACACTTGAAAAACATGGAGCCGCTGCCAGACCTGACCTCAGCACTAGATCACAGTCCCAGGCGTTCTGTGGGCTTGAGCAAGGGGCAAGGAAACTCGCGGTGGTTGGACTCTCTTATCAGGGCCGATGGGTGCTGGTTTCGAAAAGACGGACCATATTTCTTCACAGCTGCTTGCCTTCGGGCTTGTGAGGAACCCATGAATGAATTTCAAATATGTTCATCATCTCCCACCCCAGTTTGAGAACACATTTGAAATTCATGGCATTCATGGCTGCACGTCGGTGACAACCCAAGTTTTACTTCAGCTACGAACACGCAAACGGTTTCACTGTTTCCACGGGTTCACAAGCGTCATACCAAAAAATCATGTTTCGGCGCTTTTTGATCACTTTGCTCACCAGCAGTCGTTGTATTGAGACTTTTGAGAACGCCATGTGCGTGTACAATAGGCTTATGAGATACTTTGGCAGCCAGAGATTGGAAAATCCTTTAAAGGTTTTTTATCTTTTTTTATCCTATTTGAATTTTCTGGGATATCCTTTTTTTATCTTTTTTTAATCCTCCTTCATTTTGGTGTTTTTTTTGTTTATCCTTTTTTCATCATTTGTTTATCCATTTTTTAATATCCTTGATTTTGGTGTTTTTTTGGTTTGTCATTTTCTTAATCAATTTTTTATCATGGTTTTATCCTGTTTTTATCCTCCTAGCAGCAAAATGGATCAAAATTGGCTTCCCCAGGTACAAAAGGCAAAGAGCTGAGGAAAAGTGTAGGGTTTTATCCTTTTTTTTATCTTTTTTTTATCCTTTGTTTATCATTTGTTTATCATGTTTTTATCCTCCTAGCTGCAAAATGGATCAACATTGGCTTCCCCAGGTACAAAAGGCAAAGGGCTGAGGAAAAGTGTAGGGTTTTATCCTTTGTTTATCCTTTTTTTATCTTTTGTTTATCCTTTTTTTTATCCTCCTAGCTGCAAAATGGATCAAAATTGGCTTCTCTAGGTACAAAAGGCAAAGGGCTGAGGAAAAGTGTAGGATGTTATCCTTTTTTTAATCCTTTTTTTATCATTTGTTTATCCTTTTTTTAACCTCCTAGCTGCAAAATGGATCAAAATTATTGGCTTCTCCAGGTACAAAACGCAAAGGGCTGATGAAAAGTGTAGGGTTTTATCCTTTTTTATCCTTTTTTTATCCTCCTAGCTGCAAAATGGACCAAAATTGGCTTCTTACTACTTCCTACTACTAAGAACTAATAACCAGTACTAATTACTACTAAGTACTACTAACTAGGAGGATAAAAACAAGGACAAAACAATTATAAAAAAAAAATATCCAAAATTGATGAAAGTTCAAATGAGGATTAAAAAAGGATATCCAGGTCAAGGACAAACGGATAAACAAAATGATAAAACATGATTAAACAAATGATAAAACAATGATATACAAAATTGAGGAAAAATCAGGGGAGGATAAAAAAAGGATATCCAGGTCAAGGGCAAAAGGATAAAAAAAGGATAAAAAAACCTTTAATTCTGACCCCATTCTGTGGCTCAAAGATTCTCATAACAATAGGCAATGCTTCGGCCGTGGGTTGAAGCTGCGCCATTGGGGTCTCCTTGGGATTCCGCAATTACCTTGTTTCAGCTGCTTTGGCTTGATCCAGATTCTTCACCTCAGCGTTGCGCATCGTTGAGTTGGAGATGGTTGGACATGATGCAATGAATCGTATATGGAGATGATGCGGTGGAGATGATACGGTGGCAACTGCAGAAAAAAAACCTGGCACCGTGCAATTTGCATAGTTCGATATATTTTGTGTGTTTGACCGCGGCAACCACCCGGGCGCCCAGCTGCTTGCTTCATTTTCAGGGGCTGGATTGTTCAGGTCTCAGGTATCCACCTCCGTACAAGGGACATCCACCATGGAATGGTTCCTTCAGCCAACGACGAAAACCGGTTTTGGCAAGCAACAATAAGCCCAAAGAAAATCCCCAACAGCACATGATATTTCATAGCAAGACAATGTTTACCTTCGAACCACAAACTTGCTGTCATCTCAAAGCATGTTCTCCTTGTATATGCTTGGGAACCTGGGATCCTGACTTGTGGACCGTTTCTCCAGATATCTTACTTTGGAACCTAGGAACCTGAAGAATTAGAACCGTGCGCAATGCCCAGGTTTTCAAAGCCAGGTTCCAAGGTTTTTCAAGTAACATTCCAAACTTCCGCGGCAAGATTTTCAAGTTCTCAATTAAGTAAGGTTTCCAAGCTTCCGGATCAGGTTCTTCAGATAAGTTCCAAGGTTCTCAACAAAGGTTTCCAAGTTCCCAGAGAAGGTGAAAACAGGTTCCAAGGTTCTCAAGCAGGATTCCCAAGTCGAAATAAAGTTCAGAAGTCAGGTTGCTCCACGTAGGATTCCCAAGTCAGGGGGTTTGCATTATGGCGAAGGATCTGGAATGAAAATTGATGTGAATTAATGAGGTGCTTGTCTTGGTGTATGTGAGGTGATCAAGACAAGAGAGTTGAGGGGGTGCACAAAGCCGACGGAGACGTGTGGTATACCACTGGTATCGAACGTTATTCCAGTGAGTATTTTTCAATGAATAGGTGAATGAATGTCGGCATACCTCTACATCGGCTGCTTTTACCATTGCTTCCAGGCAGGCTGCATTCCGCACACTATAATATTAGGGAAGTGTTCGAAGGCATTCACAGATGGGTATTGACAGCAGACTAAGCGCTTAGGGTCGCTTCCCAGGCCTGTCTGCAGATGGCCTTATTATAGGTGATGACGATTGCATGGCGGAGGCGACTTCTTCGCCAAACTGACCTGAGAGCAGTGCAAGTCGCTCGGGGTCGATGCGGGTGCTATCAAATAGGGTATGGTTTGACATATATTGTCTTAGATTGAGACATCATTGCCATTCGACATTGAAGCGACAAAGGGGAAACAGCCCCGCAAATGACAGGATGGGACTTGCCGACACAATGAACGACGATGAGCACTTACACGAGATCCCTTTGTGTCCCGCAACTGGAGTCCAGTCCACAGCGGACGGGGCCCCGGGCGGTGTTGGGATCAGGGCAGGGCAGACCTCAGGAATCCGATTGTGAGCGTGGAGGCGGCGCTTGTGAAAAAGGCACGTGACAAGAAATCTTGCGTGTCAATATGCTGTGGACTACTGCAAATGGAACGCGGAGCACGGGTCATTTTTCGACGAGCGATATTGCGAGAAAATTGAAGCATGCAGTGATGCAGCGGTTGTCAATAGATTTCCAACCTCTGAACTCTGAACACTGCAGTGATACATATATATATATATATAGCTTCTAAAGCAAGATGGTCAATTGCGAGATATTGCACGTAGTTTGGCGTATGAAGTAATGAACGAGACTTGATTGAATGTGGCTGATATCAATCACATCTGAATCATTTGGATTGAATTGCAGCTGCCCTGGCTCAGTAGAGGTATTGTTTCCACTACATTAACTTCCTTCGGCTTGGACCGAGAAAAGGTCTGTGCCACATGAATTAACGCGTCCAAATTTCCGACCTGCACGGACGATCGGAGATTTGGAACGCTGGCCAAGTGGTGGAACAAGACACCGGCGACTTCGTCCAGCGCCATATGCTCCAAAGGATCCGCAAGGCCATTCATGCACTTGGGGTGAAACATGCGGTCACGGATGGCGTGACCGGCAGCGGCTGACAAGGTGACTTTATTCAAAGGAAGCCAAGCCTTGCCTAGTGGAATTCGGGGCAGGAGGGCGTGCAGTGCAATGTGCGCTTCTTTATGGACACGCCCTAATTTGAATGCTTCCCGGATCCGCTGAGTAGAGCGTGGTGACTGGATCGTCAAACCTGCCTCTCTCAGCAGCCGGCGCCCCAATTGAATTATGGATTTGGCGTCCACCTTTTTGGGCGCGTCGTAAGCCTTCTCGGCAGCGACGGCCAGGCGGACGCAATGAATTAAGGCCGCGTCCCGTTCGGGATCCGATGCATCAAAAACTTGTTGCTGGGCTCTCTCTGCCAATGCAGTGAGGAGCCCTCGGATTTGCGGCGTTGGAACATGCAAACAATGCTCTCGATATTGCATTATGCTGCGCAACCGGGTCGGGCTGGATTTCTCCACAAGACCCTCCACATGCGCTCGAGCAGCATTGAATTTGGGCACTTCCGTGCCACTGGGCGTGAAATCAAGGAACTTAAGGAGGATGGGGTTGGATGTGAACTTTTAAAAGGTCCCCATCGTAATCGCCACCCCCTAGTGAAACACAGCCGGAGCCGATTGTCGTGCAGATGCAACAGTTGTCAGGGACAAACCAGGCGTGCTCGGGAAGAGGGCAGGCTTCCCAAACCTGGATGTCCGACGGTTGCATCACGGGAAACCGCCACACGGCGAATTGGCCAACCCAGCACTCACCATTGACGATGATGTGGCACTGGTTGGCCTGGCGCGGTTGCAAGCGGGGCTTCAAGCAAGCTAGTGACATGGCCATGTGTCCGTTTGAATGTCTCTGCATGAACGTTTCAGGGTGATGGTGAATCAAGAAGCCTTTCATGTTTGAGATGTGACAGCTCCATGACATCGGCCGGCCTTCAAAGTATACCCAAGGGTCGGCGACTGCAAAGCCCGTGCCGCTTGGCCCGCAAATGGGCGCTTGCGGCCGTTTGGTGTAGGCAGTGCAGCCGCCGTTATATCGGCGCCGACCAGCGAGGTAGCTGGATTTTGTACCTGACAGGTTGCACGCAGCGAAAGTCACGAAGGGGTTGACAATCGACTCTGTGGCATCGTATCATCGAGAAGATGTTTTTTTTCTTTGACGTGCTCGCTTTACTTTTACTTAATAATAAAAACTAGTTTTTCCGATCTCAAAATCAATTAAATTTCTTTATATAACGCAATCAAAATATTGCCAAAAATTGGATTTCGAAGCTTCCCCCTAATACCCTTAATAACATAAAAACTATTTTTCCGATCTCAAAATCAATTAAATTTCTTTATGTAACGGAATTAAAATATTGCCAAAAATTGGATTTCGAAGCTTCCCCCAAATACTAAATTAAAAACTTTAATATAAAAAACTAAAAAACAATCGGACGGACCCTAATAATAAACACCCCGGGGTGAACTAGTTTTTAGTATTAGGGGGGAAAACCCACAAATGGTAGCTTGATTTTTAATTTGTTTCCTAAAGTGGATCAAATAAAAGTCAAATTGGCCAATCTGAAATTTTCCAAAATTGGAGATGGACACTAGTTTTTAGTATTTGGGCGGGGTTTAGTAATAGGAGGAAGGGATTAGTATCTTGCTCATCTGCAAATCATATAGAGTACTCTGCACGTATTCTATTCCTATCCATCCTGCAAGGGATTGATACAATCCAAATCTTTGAGGACATTCTGAACTTCATCTATCTAAGAATCTATAGGATTCTATATTATAGTATATCTAGATAAATAATGATAAATAATATTAGCACTAATTAATCTGCAATAAGGCTATCTTTAAGTCTTGGGATTGTTACCCTAAACCTAACCATCATACCAGTGAAGTAGCAATGAGGTCGTTATAAGTTATCCAGCAACTATGTTTGTCCAAGAGTGGAGACCTCATTTTATTGCTATCAAACAATGGGAAAACAACAACATACAAACACTAAGTCTAAGACGTAGGACTCCGTAGGATCATTCTCAACGGTCGGGCTATGTAGAAAGGATCACAGAGTGATCTTTCATGATCTTTCCCTATTTGATGTTTGTTGCAGATTGTTGCAGTAATTTCTCATGTTGTCACACGGCCATTCGAACGGTGCTTCCCCCCACAAAACGACCTGACACCGCCGCCGAAAGCGATCGTCCCCGGCCTTGACAACCACGCGGTTGGTTCGGCCCGTCCCAATGGTCGCTGACCGGTGAAGACCCACAAAGTCGCAGGCGGCATCCAGGAAAATTGCGAGCGACACGCAGAGTACGGCACCTGAGTCGAAAATCATGGAAAATCCATGTTTTTTTTGTTTTATGATCGAACACCAGCAGAAATTGAGATTTCACCAACAAGAATGAGGACTAAGGAACTACAATTGAACTCTTTCACAGTAACATGAGGAAATTTCTGATGGTTTTTCCAAATGTTTTTCTAAAAACCGAAGATTTGGGAAACAAACTGCTCCAAGAGCCTGAACGATGATGTCGAGACAGCTGTTACGGCTGTCTTCCTGAAATCATTCACAGCTGTGACATAAATAGTACTAATACAATATTTTGTATAGTACTAATATAAATAATTACATACATATAGTAAGTACTAAAATATATTTAATATACTATTTATTTTATTTCTATGAATATATGGAACAATCCCCTTTGGTTCGATGACTTTCCCATCCGAATTGAGCCAGGATTCTTCGTACAGCACAGCGCCTGGCTGCCATGGCGACGGCTTTCACCAAGAATCTGAAGACAGGATTCTTCGCGACGTTTTGAGTCGTCCCTGATCCATTTTACAATACTTAGAATACTTGGACTCTTCGTGTCTTCTTCTGTTGTGTCCAAGGGTGTCAAACCTCATTATACTGTGGACCATCAGCAAACTTTCCTTGATCCAGCACAGTTCAGGGCCAAGTCTGATGCTGAGCAACCCCTGCGACAAAGATAGGATTGTCCGAAAACAGGGACATCACCATGAATTACCCAACATTTCGTGAGAAAATGTTTATTCTTGATTGTTCTTTTGGACGTGGGGTAAAAAAGAATCACTCCATAGACAATCCCAGCACTGCCAGCGATACCTTTTCTGCGTGAAACTGCACCTCTGCGGTGCGCTGTACTCGGTCTTTATATTCGACAAAGATTGATAACGGTTTCCCAAGATCGAGCGCTTGCCTTCGAGGGATATGGCCGTTATATGTTTGGAACATGCAGAAGACATTCAACTAAAACAAGTATCTTGATGTGACTTAGCATGGTTTAAATTAAAGAAAACAGTATATGGTGAATTAATTTATCACATACGATTCTATATAATTCTATATGTGTAGATGGTGCATGTCTGCTTTGTTTTGTCAGGATACCTTGTCTTCCAGCATTCCTTAGCAAGTGCACATCGTGCAATGTGCAAGTCACCAGACTCAAGCTGTCCTCTGCCGGCTTTGCATGCAGAGAGTGCCAAGGCCATGCTGCCATGCTGAACACTCAGAAGGTGAAAAACACAAAAGGATGTTTTATGGCTTCCATTCATCAATGAAACATAATCAACAATAATGGCTATGATATATATTTATGTTGTTGATTTATGGGTTCCAATAGCCATAATTGATGAATGGAACAACAATAATCAACAATAGCCATAATTTATGGCTTCCATTCATCAATGTGTTCAGCACTTCTGCATGGGTGACGAATAAAATTCTCTCACCACTCATCATCACCTCCACCAAACCTCAAGTAGCAAGTTCGGATAGGCATATCGTGTTCAAACAGGAATAGAACTGCTCTAGGTCCTTGAGATGACATGGTCGAGGAGCGTTTCACAGTCACTCTGTTTACATAAGGACATAGGCGCCGGAACTTTTGATTGGTTTTGGGTTGAATGGCAAGAACAAGGCATCAAGTGTATTTTTAGTATTATCATCAGTTTGTTTAACTTTCTATTTTGCTATTAAAATATATTAAAATGGTGATTTTAACATTTTCATAGTTATGTCAGTTTACGAGAGGGTAAACACTTTGGGGGAAGTTAAATTCTGCCTGTGTCTGCCAAGAAAATCCAGAGTTTCTACCTGCATACAGCGGACGGATTCGCAAGCACGGTCGGGACATCCAGTGTACGTATCCAAGCACGGCAGGATATCCCATTTCTGTTGCTCTTACGACATCTTGAAAAGCCACTAGAGTTACAAAATCATGCTTTTGAATGGGATAGCCCGTATCTGAATAAAACCATGGTTGCTGCAGCATGTCCTACATGGTCTTGTTCAATACAGTAATGGGTGCCGCTAGAATATGTTTCGTCAATGAATTTTCCCTATGAACAGTGCCCTTTGGAGATAGATACACTTTTGGACAAACCTGGTAACCCAAACAACAAACCATACCAGAGATGAGCGGTCTTCGAACCATCCCCTTAGAATTCTATTGTTGGGTTAACCAAATGACCCGCTTCCCAAATGGGTGTTTCTCAATTTTGTGGTTTCCGACGATAAAACAAAAGCAATAAAAGCCTTCTGGTTTCCAACCGGTAGAAAAACAACGGCCAGAAAAGAAGAAAACATGTATCCCATTTTATGGTTTTCAATTATCACAAGGAAATGTTCAGAAAAATATATCAATGTTCCTTTCAATTTGGTTTGGAACAACTATCACTAAGACTAATTCATTGACTTTTAGTTACGACCGGGGGTTTCCATGGCAAAGAATATTCGTGGTGATTCGAACCCCGTGAATACCCTCTGGTAATTTAACAGTTTGCTATTGAAAATGGCCCAGTCGAAATAGTGAGTTTCCCAATAAGCATGGTGGATCTTTCCATAGTTTTTTGGTATGTTTACCGGAGGGTAACGTTTACCCTCTGGTAAACATACCAGCACCTTCCTACGTAACTTAAATTTAAGTACATTGCAAATTTGTAGCATAAACCTGGTTGATTGGCAAACGTACCTGAAAATCACTTCTCGAGCAAGAATCCTGAATTCGATCACTTTCTGAGATTTGGCTCTGGCTGTGGAGGCCAATGTGTGTGTGTAGTGTGGAAGGTAGCCAGGCCAAAGCAGCAGGTTCAACCTGGGCTGCGTGGCTTTCAAGGTCTGCCCGGCTTGGTTGGAGAAGGGATTAGAAGGGTCTGGTGCAGGAAGCCTATCTTGACCTAGAGAAATGATATGTACATACCACTGATAGCCCTTTGATCTCAATCCCTTTAGCCTCAGGGGATCTACTTGAGATAGCTCTAGAGAGTTATCCTTTGCTCTGGGCCATGGGGTCCCCGGTGGTTGATGAGTGGGAGAAATTGGACTACATCGTTTCAAGTGGCCAAAAAGGTGAGTTGGTACAGTTTGCCAACAGACCCCCCAAGACAGCTGCTCATGCTGGCGAAAACAAGCAAGTCCAGATCTTCAACCGCAGGGATGTAATCAACAATGCACCTATTCTGGGCCCCTTGATCTTGCACATGGGCACCTAGGCTATATGATAGTGCTGTTTAGCTGTAGTGAATATTCCAATTATTCCAAATTCCAATTTGTAAACCTGGTGTCAATCACAACTCCTAGGTATGCGACCCACCATAGCGGATCTTCAGAGACTGGTCGATGAGTTCTTTTGGCGGGTCAGGCCCCGTGGAAAGGCTCCAGTGGAAAGCTACTTGATCAGCAGAATCTTCAATTTTCACTCCTATCTCCCATGAACTATGAACTCCCATGAACTATGAACTCCCATGAACTATGGGCAACACCACAATCAACATGGTATTCATGTGGGGTTTTCTCATGAGGTTCGGTGGTCAAGATGCAAGCGTGGTCACTGCGCCAACTTGTTTCTCAATTTGGACGTGCTGCACGTCGCCCCCATGTGCCAAGAGAGGCTGCAATGCGCAGTTTGTATGTTGCGGCAGATGTCCCTTTGCCAGAGGGTATCTTGATCAGATCTAATGAACCATATATTTTATATTTTTTCCAGTGCAGTATCTTAGCTAGTTCACTAGTGATAAGCAGGTGTCCCCCTTAGACATAAATATAGTGG